GAATCCTGCGAACGGGCTGGCTGCATGGGCGTTTTCGTGGTTTTCCCCATGTGTAACGTGTATACGAGCCAGTTTCCCTTAGAAAGTCCTCCACGAAAGGCATCCCTCCCTTTAGGCAGATAGCCCTCGTGTGCTTTGCCATAATTAAATACACCATACACACCATACACCTTAAAGACCAGAAGAAATGTACAGGCTGTTCTGTTAAGTCTAGCATCAATGGAACTAATTGCCAGTTTCATAGCTAAGTGATCACATGAAGGCTATTTCAATGCCAATCAACTTTTACAAGTGGAATGGTTCACTTAAAAGCAATAATTTACATTAAAAAGATGGGCTGGTCTACAGCATCAGAAAGAAAGATTCCATTATATATATAATCTGATTGACCCTATAATAAATGAATGTAACATGTTATTGGAGTGGTGGTACTGATTTCCTCTTAGAATTATTAACAAATGAGATAACATTTTAAACAGATTCTATATTTGTCCATGATGCCAAACTTGCAAGATACTAAGCATATAATTAAAAATGCTCATATTAAAATAATGGAAATAATATTTATACCATGTTGTAAAATTTTCAACCAATGTTGAGGACAGCCCAATCTGTGCTAGCTCATGATTAAATATACAAGGTGTGGCTATTAATTTTCAGGACTGTTCTAATAACACCAGAACAGATGATGAGAAAAACTTAACCTTTCAATTTGTTTCGAAGCAATCCCCATCGGCCGTAACACACTTTTGTGCTCGGCTATATAAGTTGTGGAAACAACTTGTAAAGTCCTCTTTCGGAAGGCTCTTCAATGTCCATGTCATGTTCTTCTTGATATCTTCAACATCCACAAAGCGGGTTCCTTTGATCCTAGTTTTGAGTTTGGGAAACAGAAAGAAGTCTGCAGGACCAAGTCAAGAGAGTATGACTGAAAGTTGTTTCCACAACATATACAGCCGAGCACAGAGGTGTATTATGGCAGATGGGGATTAATTTGAAACATATTAAAAGGTTACGTTTTGACATCATCTGTTTTGGTGTTATTAGAGCAGTCTTGGAAATTAATAGCCACAACTTGTATTTATTTCTATATGGCTGCTTGAATTTATTCATATCTACTTTTTCAAATATTTTTCATATAGTACTTGTACATAATATTAAAAGTTGCTATTGTACGAAGTAATGCTATATTTGAGTTTTTAAGATAATAATGAAAAGTCAAATATACATATTAGTTTGTCCTATAGCATCTGTCATATCAAATATACATATTAGTTTGTCCTATATCATCATATTACATCACAAAGTGGAAGAAGTACAGGCTGAGAAGTAAGTCATTTTTTTAAAATAAAAAACAAAAATGGTTACAATTTTTAAATATATTTGCTAATTACAGTTCATCTCTTTACCCAATGGCCTTTAAGATAAAAGGTCTACTTTAAATTATTATTTAAATTACCAAACGATTTTATTAAATTGAGCACATGAAAACAAGAATATTCAATGTTCATTTATATGTAAATCAATATACATATATATCTAAAACTCTGTTAGAAAAACTTTTCAACTGTACATATATATATATATATATACACATATTTTAAGAATCTTTTTTATGTACAGTACAAAATATGAATAATAAAATATATTCTGCAGCTGTCATTAGTCTGAGAAACTAGTACAGAAAATATGAAGTTAACTGAAGTAATTCTAAAGTACAAACTACTAAACTATTAAAAGAAATAACGATAAATTATTAACAATAAACTTTTAAAGAAATAAAAATCTAATTATTAAGGATACAAGTTTACTAGATTGAAAGATACTGAAGTGTTTAAAGACAAATTTTAGAATAACAAAATAATCCATCAGCATACACATATCCATGCAAAAGTTGACAAATAATTTAAGGAAATTTAAAAATGGTAAACAAAAATTTAATTACATGCACTTAGGCAGTAAGTACTTAATATACTCTCAGTTTCCACTGTCATGTAATTTCATTTCTCTTGATGATGAATATGCTATAGATTAGGGGTCTTCAACCCGTGGTCCAATGAAGGCATTTTAGTGGCCCCACATTTGAATTTGAAGAAAAACTGAAGAATTTTAAGAAATTTTGATTTCAAGAAAAATTGCTTTGTAATCTTTTTGTCGTAAAAGAAACTTTTTTCTCTTATTCTTGATATTTAAAACATTTTATTAACATGTCTGATATACATATATATATGTATAAAAATTTTTTTGAAATTGACAAATTTTAGGCAGTTTGCCTTATTTGCAACAACAGTGTAGCCGTGATGAAGGAATACAACATTAAGAGACATTATGATACTAAGCACTGTGAGAAATATTCTGCATTGGAAGGTCATTTTCAAAGTGATAAGGTGAATGAATTAAAATCAAAACTAAATTTTCAACAGTCTTTCTTCATTACAGTGAATAAAGAATCTGAAAATAGTGTTTGTGTTAGTTATATCATGGCAGAAAAATTTGCAAAAGAATGTCTTCAGAGTGCAGTTGATGTGCTCTGTCCATCACAGGCTCAAGTCATCTCTACATATAATAAAACAAAGAGTCTGTATGTGTGTGTGTCTTTTGTTCGTGCTGCGCGTAAGCTAATAGAAACACGGCTACGAAATTTGGTACATAGGTGCATCTAGACAAGAGCCAGTGCACCTCGAAGCGATTTTTTCGAAATTCGAATTCGAATTTTTTTTATTTTATGTTTTGTGACGAAATTGCATCATTTTCAGACATAATGGGCTATAGGAAAGCGAGATTTTACTGTACGCACTCCATTTTCACATCGTCATGAAACATAGGCACTTAGCTATTTTACGAACTTAAAATAAATTTCGTGTTTCAATAAATCGATTAAATACGAATTTATTTAACAAAGTGAGCTTAACACCTTTTCAATGGGATTTTTTCTAAAAACGTTTATGTTTAAAAATGTACAGTTTATTTTTCTTTGATTTTTGGACACGTTAAACTTTCATCCTTGCGACTGCTTATACAAAAAGAATTTTGGAAAAATTATATTTTGTATTTTAAAACAATTTTTTAAATGAAGCTTCCGAGTACACTTCTCACATCTCGCATCTTTACAAATGTGATTTTGGCAATGTTCCAACTAAAAATCCCTAACAGGATAAACTGATGTCGCTTTTCCCGCACCGGGGGGAAAATATAGTTAGAACACACAGGAACGATGATATGGTAAGATGTGTAGATCCGGCACTGTACCGCATATGATATTTCATATTTGTTTCAATCATGTTGTTATTGTTTTCAATAAATAATCAAAAGACAACTACTGTGAATTAAATGACTCAACACTTCAGAACAAAGATATCACAGGCAACAATTTCCCTTTCTTATTGTTGTTGATAGATTTTTGATGAAATCGCATCATTTTTAATAGTTTCATTCTTTTAGAAATATGGGTTTGGCAACTATGCTATGCAGTTTTTAAATTTAACGTTTGGTGTTCCCTTCAGCCATTTTTTTCGGTACATTTAAAAGCCAGACGAAGGCTGGCAGCAAAACTGCTAGTATTGAATATTAACTTGTCTGGTGTGACAGTAGTCAGGCACATAGAGGATATTCCAACAAATATATTCAGTAAATTAAAATCCAAATGCAAAAAATTTGAGTTTTATTCTGTAGCGATGGATGAATCAACAAATACTGCACAAGAAGCCATTTTTATTCGTGGCGTTGATATACAATTGTAGAGGAATTAGACTATGTCATTGCACACAAAGGTACAACCTGAGGAACAGATTTGTATTCGAGTCTGACAAACTTCGGATAAATGTAATGTTGACTTCAGTAACATATCTGCTACAACCACGGATGGTGCTAAATCTATAACTGGAGAGAAAATGGGAGTAACAACATTACTCAAATCTGATGTGAAGGCAAGTTGAAATAATACTATGATGACTTTCCACTGCATCATCCACCAAGAAAATTTGAGCAAGAAGTCTTCCAAACTTTGCACATGTGACGAATGTTGCTGTAAAAGTGGTTAATTTTATTCGGTCTAAAGGACTTAATCACAGGCAATTTCAACAGTTCTTGAGTGATTTGGAAGCTGAATATGGTGATGTTGTGTATTACGTGGAAGTATGTCGGTTGAGCCCAGGGAAGATGCTTCAGTGCCTGTTTTCTTTTGAAGAGCAAAGTTCAACAATTCATGGAATCTAAAGGGAAATCTATTCACGAGTTCAGTGATAAGAAATGGTTCAGAGACTTTGCATTTCTTGCCGATATTACAGGTCAGCTCAATGATTTGAACTACCACTTACTGGGAAAAGATCTACTTGTTCAAAATCTTGATTACTTTGCGAAAGCTTTTGAGACAAAATTAATCCTGTGGGAAAGTCAGTTGCTAAATAAGAATTCCACTCACTTTCGAAAATTGATGGAGTGTGTGAAGAACTCTACAACATGCAATTCAAATAATTATGTACAATGCATTTCAAATTTGAAAGAGGAATTCAAAAGCAGATTTTCTAATATTCGTGAAAATGAAATTTTTATCAGAATGTTTTCCTCGACATTTTTAGTAGATGTTCGAAATGTTCCACCTGAACTTCAATTACAATTTATAGATTTATAGTGCGACTGCAGTAAAAAGCAAGTTTCTTGAAAATCCAACATTAATTTATTTTTATTCGAAGTACGTGACCGAAGACAAGTATCCAGGAATTCGTAAACATGCAATCTTCATGCCTTCTATCTTTGGTAGTACCTACATATGTGAACAGCTTATTAGTAAAATGAAAATTCTAAAATAAAAAACAAGAACACGGCTGACAGACAGACATTTAAAGGAAACTTTATGAATTGCAATAACACAGATTAAACCGGATATTGAAGCTTTAATCAAGCAAAAACAATGTCAAATTTCACATTAAAACTAAAGTAACTACCATCTCCCGTCAGTAATGTAAAATCCCCCCCTTTTTTTATTGTAAATGCATTTTGTAACATGGTTCTGTACAATCATCTTTATGCTTTTTTTCACAGTAAAAAAAAGTTGCAAAACATTTTAATTCGATTTCCATTTGACTTTTTGGAACCAGTGTGTGTGTATATGTGTATGTGTGTTTACAAATTTGTAATACTATCTCTTCGCCTAGAATCAATTGTAGTCTTGTCAAAACAAACCTCCCTTTTTATTAAATAAATTTTTTGACTACACTATTTTTTTGACAGACATGTGGCCCGCGGATCTTTGTGAAGTTATTGATGTGGCCCTCGGGCGTGAAAGGTTGAAGACCCCTACTACAGATAAATGATAAGGATTTAAAGAATTTAAAAATGTTCATTAAGACAACTTAGTTGCTTTCTGGTACAAGGAATCCACAACTTTTCCTAAACTTTGGATGGTCTCTAATGCAGCTTCATATGTTTTATTCACTTGTACATCTTCAAATATAATTAAAACACCTTCTCCCTGGTCTAGAATTCCTATGATAAAATTCACATTTTTAAATAATCATTGCTTGTCTTTTATTTATATATGATAATCATAATAAAATAATAACAGTAAATAGTAACAAAATCACTTACCATTAAATTTTTTGTCTAATATCATTTGAGATAATTTTTTCTCTACTTTGTCCTAAAATAATAAAATTTTTTCCTAAAATCATTTTTTAATATAAACATCACAGCATGATTTACTTAAAGAAGATTTTAATACCTTTATGCAATTTATGTTATTATGAAATCAGATAAATACTAAATACACAGTTTTGTTACAGTAATTAATATAATTTTTTCTCTACTTTGTCCTAAAATAATAAAATTCTGTGTCATTTTTTTAAAACTATAAATATCACAACATAATTTACTTAAATTAACCAAGATTTTAACAGCTTTATGTAATTTATGTTATTAATAAACACAAAGTTTAAAATCAGATAAATACCGAATACACAGTTTTATTACACTAAAATGACAAATGAAAACAGAAATTTACTGAAACCAGTCTGCTAGAATGTACGAATAAATCAAATTTTCACTTTGTCTTGAATGAGCTGCTGTAGTACATGTATTCAGTATTATTTTAAGACAGATTTAAGATTTCTAAGGGTGACATGGGATCCCCCCTCCAAATTCTTATAGTTCTAAAGGTTACATGAATCACAAAATTTGATGACCACAAAATCAAATGTCACAGATAAATCACAGTTTGAAAATTAACACAAAAATATAACATACATGCATTTATAAGTTTAAGTTACAAAGTTACAAATGTTTTCTTTTGAGCAGAATACTGCTAGAATCTTCTACATATCAGTTCAACCTTTAAGATTTTATTAAAAAAATAATAAATAGGTGTTTGTAATAGTAAAGTGTAAAATATTGTAAAAGAACACAACTTTTTTAAAAAAATATTTGCATGAAATGCAATAAAACATGAACCCTAGTCCATTGATGTAATACAAAGCGTAAGCAAGTAAAATTTGTTATATCGAATATTTGTCACATACAGAATGCATTAGAAAAGAGAAAATTAGTAATATTTTTGCATTAGACTAGAAACAAAATTTCAGCAAAGATAATCAAGATAAGCAAATGATTTGAAAATTTATTAAAAAGTACAGCACTATATAAATTATTTTTCATTAAGTCAGTCATGAACGTTTTTTTTTTTTTTTTTTTTAGTAGAATATAGTCAGAACCTACCAAATTGGCAGTAAAACATTCAATTCAAACTTTAAGATTTACTAAATGCAGTAAAAATTTTTGTATGTTAGTAAAAACTGACATGAATTTATGCAGACAGAGGAAAAATATTTGCTTGGTATGTAATAAAATAAGTTAAAATATAACCCTAGTCCATCAGTTCAATACAATTGTCATGCATGCTTAATTGTTCACTTCCGAGTGTGGAAAAAAGTAATTTTTGAGTCAAAGAGAAACATTAAAAAAGAAAAAAAGAAAAAAAAGAAAAAGGAAAAAAAAAAAAAATCTGAAAGGTTTCGGATTTTAAATTACGTCCAAACAGGTGTTTTTTTAACGTTTTATGTGTTACCTTTATTTATTATCATGCTCTTTGCACTTAAACCATAAAATTCAGTTCAACAGCAATGTTGCAAAATAATTTTAAAATGAACATATCTTTAGAATTTCCCATACACAGTTCCGCGCTCTGGATATAAAAAGGTTTTTTTCCCCTCCCGTAGTGTTGCCATTGCTCGCTTTTAAATCATTGAGTTTGAAAAAAAGTAATTTTTGAGTCAAAGAGAAACATTAAAAAAGAAAAAAAAAAAAAAAAAAAAAGGTTAACAAAATCTGAAAGGTTTCAGATTTTAAATTACGTCCAAAGAGGTGTTTTTTTAACGTTTTGTGTGTTACCTTTATTTATTATCATGCTCTTTGCATTTAAACCATAAAATTCAGTTCAACAGCAATGTCGCAAAATAATTTTAAAATGAACATATCTTTAGAATTTCCCATACACAGTTCCGCGCTTTGGAGATAAAAAGGTTTTTTTCCCCTCCCGTAGTGTTGCCATTGCTCGCTTTTAAATCATTGAGTTTGTTAAACAAAAATTCGTTACAGTTTTACAAAATATGAAACCGATAATAAAACAAATTCAAAATTTCAAATTTGATCTTTCAGATGCCCATATTCACAGTAGGATTATGTCATTCAAAATTTAATGGCTCTACGTACCGTTGTTTTATCACAGTGCAAGAAACATACATACATTTATGCAGATTCTTCATTATTTAATTTCTTCAAATATAATACAGGGCAATAGTATTTGGTAGCAATAGTTTGAAAAGTGAAACGGGCATTTGGAGTGATTCAAAGCAAAATTGCAAAACGAAAACAAACAGTCCTTCGGGACAAAGCCCCTTTAAAAAAAAAAAAAAAAACTTATTGTTCTAGTAATTTAAATCAAAGCATTCTAAAATTTGATGTTTTTTATGAAAATATCTTATACTTCATAAGAAAATAGTATGATTACTATTTTTTTAGACATGTTTTTTATGAAATTAGTACAAAACATTTCTTAGAGATAATGTAAATCAGTGATCATGATGACTTAGAGAAATGAGTCAAAGTCCATATGAACTTGGTTAAAATCTCTCTTCTACTAGTGAGCATATTTGTGTCAGTGAAAATTAATCTATCACAGTAATACACTAAGACAAATACAATTTTCTTTTTAACTTTCTCAATTAACTCTCTGACTGCTCAATTTGTGGACCGAAATCGCTTAAAAAAATGTGTATTTTTTTTTTCATATTTTAAATCTATATATATTGGAAAGCTGAAAAATGCACTTTTTCTTTCTAGAAAACACTTTTATGTAGATTTTTATCATGAGAAACTAAGTTGCCAGAAAAACCAATTTCAGATACTATCAGCAGAAAAAAAAAAAAAAAAAAAAAAAAAAAAAAATTAATAAATTTCAATCGAATTACAGCTAATTTCTATTTATTACATAATATAAAAAAGTAAAATGTATAGATTTTAAGAAAATATGAAGCACTGAGGAAAAAATACCTTAGAAATGCAGTTTAGTACAATAGAGTTCAAAACAGGGTTCAAGGCAAAGCCCAACTTCACAGTCTTCGTGCCAGATTCAATAAATCTAATTAATAATCAATTTAATTATAAATCTAATCAATAAATCGAATTAATATTCAACAATTTTATTAAATAATTAAGATAATCGCTGAACGTTTTCTAGCAGCCATTTCTGTAAGAAAATTGCGGCAAAAAGTGAAGTTTGAGCTGTAATACCATGTACCTTCAAATCCTGCAATTTAGTGGACAACTAACGATATATGTTGGCCAAAACGTAAACTATACGTCAAATACTGTATATAATTTATTTGAATGGTTAAACGGGAAAAAAACGGGATGCACTCTTCAATAAAGAAAAACACATGCCCGCGGAAATCGCGGGATGAGCAGATTTTACTACATTTGAGTTGCCCGTGGAAATCGCGGGATGAGCAGCCAGAGGGTTAAAGTGGTGGTCCTTATATTCATCAGTTCTAAGAGCTAACATCTATATGAATCCACTAATGACAGCAGTCAGTTGAACAGAAAATATGCCTGAACAATGATCACATCATTACTGAACATCTGCAAACTGGGAAAACATTGTCTGGTACAATGAGCTGCAATATTATCTGTTTGATTCATACATTACATATATGTGGATCTGGGACAGGATTTGGATTATGTAGGATCTTATCGACTAGCACTCCTTGGACTACAGGTGCATATGGTTTGCCAAATACAATCCTTTACATCAATTTTCCATCTAGCTGGCACTGAATGCTTTCAGTAACAGTCTACAGCTGCAGTGCTATGCTACTTTAAATATAATTTGAATTGCTACTTGCAACATAATATACAAGTAGCAATGCTACTTGCAATATAATTTGAATGTAATCAGCATCTGCTGAGCCTAGTGGAATTAACTTTCATGCTCAGAATCCACTACCATCCAACTTTGTGGAATTATGGATGTTGTTGAGAGATATGCATAAAGTGCAACCAAAGCTAGAAAGTTTTTGGCAACATGGTTAAAACCAGAACAAAAATGACAAAAATTCATAAAATAATTGCAAACTGATAGAAGTATTTAATATTAGTGAGAAATTTGTTAAAAAAAAGCTCAGCTATATTAGTTATTCAAAAATTAACATATTATTATTTTAGCTTCACTTTTTCCATAAACATGCCTAAAGTAGAAGACCAATTTGGTTGCAGTTTTAAAACTCAGAAGTATTTCTCAGTTCATTGTGAATATATGAAAACTGAAGAATATTCTTTTTTAAGCCCAGCATACTTTATGTTGTTTCTAAAAATTATCATCAGCTATTAGTGGCAACCACATTTCATAGGCATCTGCAAAAGAATAACCATCTTTAGGTTAGGTTACTGGAATATGGCATGGCACAAAAGGGCTGTAGAGATGCCTTTCCTTTTTTACTGAAAACTTACTTGCATTCATGTTACACAAGGAGAAAACAAATCATACAGCCAGCCCATTCACCAAGGATTGAATTCACAGTATTTTGAGGTCTAAGCCATCTGACACTGGTAAGGTATCAAGAGTGTATCCAGTACAGTAGTAAAAAGGTTTCAATGACAGCAGTAAGTGTTTTACATTCTTAAAAGCACATATTATTTATCATATTGACCATTTATACCATCTTTAACCTTATCAAACTACTCTATGTTGCAAAACTACTTATTTGTGGTTTCACAACATTTGGATATTCTTTAAGCAAAGTAGCTTGTCTGAGTATTTCCAAAATATTTCTGAACAGATACCATATGCTTTATAACAGATAATATAATTTTTGCTTAAGGAGATTAAGCTAATGATCAGCACACCTGTAAGTTATAAGTGCCAAAGGTTTTGTCAGCATAAAGCTTCTATTTTCTTTTTATGCTTACTATCTACAAGAACTTTCATTTCATACATGTATCCCCCTTTTTTTGCTTCTGTATTTGCTGCCTTGGTTATTTGCATGCATTTTGTTATTATTGCCTTGGCTATTGCAATCTTTTCCAAATTTTGCAATTATGAAATTTAAATACATTCGGTATCAGTATGAACAGCATTTGCAAGTAACGAGACCATGGCTGACAATTATAAATATTAGTCAGCTATACTGCATCAATGTAAATATTTTACCAGCAGCTTCCTTTTCAATCCTAACTTCAATTCTTATGAGGCAACTTATCAGGCAGGTTTCCAGCCAAAATTTATTAGCAGAGTGTATGTCAATTTATAGACAGTCTTAGTAAATTTATATTTATTCAGTGATACAAAATGAAATATTAAAAACATAAATGAAATGCCATAACAAATGTCTCTTTGCTCTCTAGAGCTGTTTTAAGGATTAAGAATCACATACTATTGAAGGTCTGTGTTCTTCAAGTTCTTTCCCTTTTATCTGTTGTTTCTCTGCAAGCTGCGCTGAATTATCTTATTAATAATTATGTATTTCCCTACTTCCTTGTTGGAAGACAGGTCTACTTGTGCTTATTCCTACTACTGATAACAACACTGATGTTCAACAGAAGCTCTTTCATTTGGTAGGGTCTAAATTTTCTTGCAATTAACATATTCTATTATAACCTTTTTATTAACTTCTCCCAGCACATAAATTTTAAAATTTGTTCAACAAGCCTACCATAATCATTATTACTAGACTACAGAACATTCAAAGATATCAAATAATTATATTCACATTTCTTTCCTGGCAAAATGACTCAATAAACAAGAAATTGCATCTGAAGTACACAGGCAAACTATGACTGATGGTCAGCTGCAAATTCACTGAATAAATAATACAGCTTATCTGATTCGTGTACTTAGCAGAATAAGTTATTGAAAGTTAATCTGTAATTCATTTTATTTCTAATATTTAAAGGTTAATTTTAAAAGTTATATTTTAGTAAAGATATGATCAGATGAATATAAACTGAATATTTTCATTTATTAAAATATTTAATAATTTTCTTAAAATAATAAATATTATTAATACACTATTTTAAATGTATTTATTAGTTTCTGTGAGTTGCCATTTTTTTATGTTTAAACTGCCTACAATCAGTTTGTGCCAGTGGCTAGCCCCAACTACACTCATGTCCATAAATTAAGGATAATTCGGAGTCACGCTGAAATCGAACTCTAAAATAAATATATCACCTGTAAAATCACTACACACATCTTCAAGAACCATATGCAAATTTTAGGAAGTAACCAGATGACACTGATGGTACGTCACAATGACAAGAGTGTAAGAGAGTGATATATAAGGAATACAGGCAAAGAAATAAAATCGTTCGCAGGTGCTTTATAAGCATTTCAGTGCAATAACCGAATAGTTATGACACAAAGGACGCATTTGGATGATTTTTTACGTGGTAGAATTATCGGCCGTCTGGAATGTGGGCATACCCAACTGGAAGTATCAGACGAACTTGGAATTGCTCAGAGTGTCATCTCCAGGCTTTGACAACGATTCCAAGATGATGGTAATGTGAGTAGATGTTACAGCACAAGTCACCACAGAGTTACAACGCCGAATGAGGACCGGTATTTGGCAGTTACTGCCAAAAGAAACAGGCGGAGCACAGCCTCAGACCTGTCTCATCAGCTCTCTTCAGCCACTGGTACAACAATTTCAAGGCAGACCGTGTACAGACGCTTAGGACAGATTGGTCTATATGCTCATAGACCTGTCAGATGCGTTCCACTTACTGCAACTCAATGTCGCCTGCGGTTAGCCTGGAGAGAGCATACATTGTGGACACTGCAACAGTGGGCTTGTGTGATGTTTTCCGACTAGTCCAGGTTTAGCTTGCAGTCTGATTCTCGCCGTACTTTTATATGGAGAGCTCCAGGTACCCGTTACCACCAAGAAAACATCATTGAACAACACCGTTATGGTGGTGCAAGAGTGCTCGTTTGGGGTGGAATTATTCTGGGTTCCAGAACTGACCTGCATGTTCAAATTGGAACCAAGACAAGCCAAATCTATCGGGACGTCATTCTGGAACAACATGTACATTTGTTTCGGGGCGCCATGGGTGCACAATTTGCGTTTATGGATAACAACGCCCGTCCTCACCGCGCAAACATCGTAAGCGAATGTCTTCAATAGGAGGATATCACCCGTATGGACTGGGTAGCATTCTCACCGCACTTGAATCCAGTAGAGCACGTGTGGGACATGCTTGGCTGACGAGTTGCAGCCCGTCAACCTCCTCCTACATGTCTACCGGAACTTCGCAGAGCATTGCTTTTTGAGTGGTGTAATATCCCCCAAGATCAGATCGATAATTTGATACTCAGCATGCCTAGGTGTTGTACGGACTGTATTGCATCGTCTGGGAGACATACAATGTATTAACAATCATACCAACCATGTAATATTGGTTTTTGTAAATAGTTTTTTTTTTTTTTTTTTTTTTTGTAATTTGCTCGAGGGAGAAAAAAATCGCTAATTTTTTTAATAATATCAAACATATAGCATCTTTTTTTGCTCTTTACCTTTTGTTTAATATATAAGCTTTACAAATAAGTCAAATTTGTTTTGCTGCTAACTCTTCCTTTGCCTGATTTTGCATTATCCTTAATTTATGGACATGAGTGTATTTTCCGTCAGCAGAAAGCCAGCTCTGCTAGCAACATTTGCAAAAATATTTGACCAACTGTAGACCCTAAGCTATAGCAAACAGTAGTTGCAATGCAAGATAAAAGTAAGTAGGTAAGGAATTACAGGTGGGGGATTACAGTTTGTTTCCACAAAGGGAACACTTCTTTAAAATTTGTGCATACAAACTTTGCATTATTATAAAGAAAAGATATAGGTAAGGATGTAGTCTCTGGTTCAACTGCTTTCAGTGAGTTAGCTATTTTTTAGATGGTGACACTAAAACTGGCTGTTGTTTCAATTATTTATTTTTCTAGAAGTTAATTAATTTTATGAATCTATTATGAATTTTTTTGAAATTTCTATTCTTTGACAATTTGTTCTAAAGATTATACACAACATGTGGAGAACCATACTGCAATGTTTCCACGTTATCTTGCAGAAGCATAGTGGAGATTCATTAATGAATGTAATGTATATTTCTGAATGACATATGTAATGTATATGGCTGAAAGAAATATATTAAAAACAGCCCTATCAAGGCTACTGCTTCTCTTGTTTTGTAAAATTTGATGGAGTTAAAATTTAGTGGATTAAAATACGTAAAAGCAATAAAATTAATTAATGAAATCAGTTTCATTTACGTATTCTTAATTATTTGTACTCATTTTCAAAAATAGCCTTTACTGGCTCCACCTACAAAATGAATAATTAACTAAAAGTGGTAGATTGCATCCTACATTAATTGCCAAGATATATTTACAAATGCTGAGATCCTAAGAAACTCAAGTTTGATAATCTCTTAAATAATTTATACATTATATGACCTCATCTGGTCATCAGAGATTGCTGTGGCTTCTTGGAAACATATCAAGCATGATTTAAAAAAATCTAGAATGTGTACATTTGAATAATCACTGAAAGATAATTTGAATCATATTTAGCAAGATTCATTCATGGAATAACCACTATAAAGATTAAAGTGAAATAACACTATGCTATTAAATATACGTAGGTTGATCCCAAAAAAAGTTTAAAAGCAGAAGCATTTGAAACGTAATAATTGTGGAGCGAATATTTCCACCCAGGGTGATTGACAGATAGCGCTAGTTGTCCTACAGCGGTTCTACAAGTAAGTAGCGTCAGTACACAGACACTTAAGAGTGACAGTAATGGCACGATGTCTAGAAAAGTGGTCTCACATAGAGGTGCGAGCCGTAATTCGATTCTTATGGGCCAAGAATGTGGCCGAATCCGAAATTCACAGACAAATCGTTGAGGTATTATATGGGAACAAAGCAATGAGTAGACAACAGGTAGCGAAATGGTGTTGTTCTTATCAAGCGGGCAAGGGAGCATGTGGAAAACCGCAATATGGAAGCGAGCGGCTGTCCAAGTTCTTCAAGGACGGATATCAACACGGCACGTGTTGAAGAAATCATCCAAAGGGATCGATGAGTAACTGTGCATAAGATTGCCTCAGAGTTGGACCTGAGTTATGTTAACGTTTAGCGTATCGTAACCGATGAGTTGCGATATTCCAAAGTTTGTGCCCGCTGGGTTCCACGTGCGTTGTCCGCGGAGCATAAGGCCACTCGAATGATGTGCAGCCTCACATTTCTTCAGCGATACCATTCAGATGGCCAACACTTCATTGATCACATCGTTACCGGTGATGAAACATGGTTTCATCACTTCACCCCCACATCCAAAAGAGCCACGATGAAGTGGAAAAAGCTGCCGAGAAATGGCTCAATGAGCAGGACCCTGATTACTACCAAGATGGGATAAACAAGTTGGTCGAACGTTCTGACAAATGCCTAAACATTTTTGGTGACTATGTGGAAAAGTGAAGGCCAGATGTGTCTCTTGATTCCCATTTGTATCTTGTTTCTATTGTTAATAAATACTTTTTCATTTGCCTTGTAAACATTTTTTTGGATCACCCCTCGTATATTATAAAAATTTATTTACAATCACTAATAATTAACAACAGTTTAACAAACTTTAATCCATTCATTCATATATTCAGATGATGAAAAGAAATAAAGCACATGTTTAAGGAAACTGCAATAGGTAACACAGGTAAAATACAACAAGGGAATATTCCTTCAAATTACACTAGTTTGTGTATTACAATATTGACTTAGAATGATTTTACATTATACTGATATTTAATTGCTATTATTTATGTTAGAATCATTGTAAAATAAAGCATAAGTAAATTATACATCAGAATCATTTAGCAGTTAAAAATTTAAGATGTTATTTAGTGTAAAATAATTTTATTAAAGATATAACAAAAACCGCAAGCAGAAACAAAGAATATGTTGTATTTTCAAAAACTACTTTAATACTTACCAATGGTAAATTTATAATCTTTGCTACATGTTCAACCTTTAAAAACAAAATTCCAGATATTAGCACAAGTCTTAACTTCATTATCATAAAAACATTTTTTTGATTAACACATATGATAATAAATGATTCAAAGTAAAATAGTCATCATGATTATAGCATATATATTTATTATTATATATATAGCATGATAGCATATATATTTGAATAGCCAACACAATTTTTGCATTATATATAAAAACATGAGCAATATTTCTCTTGAAAGGAAAAGTTATATCATATTCTTATGCTCCACGATACAGAACAACAATTTTTTTTTTATCTCAATTTTACATAAACCAACGCTATTTTAAAAACTATCTAGATCAGCGGTTCTCAATCTTTGTCACCCTATGCATCCCTTTCGTCACAGCTAGATGATTATTTCCCTCCCTCCTTTTCGAAAACTTATATACACTAATTTAAATTTATAATATTTATTAATGTGCTTTATAAACTTAACAAGAAAAAACATAGAAAATGTTCATAAATACCAAAACTTGACAAAATAATATGCTAAATTTCCAGTTATCTCATCCTAATGTTAAAATTCAATAGATGACGCCCCCCCAAAAAAAAAACTGTAGAAAAGAATGAAAGTTTATTCACAAAAGGAAAATAATAATAATGTAGACTGTGCTCATCTCCCACAATCGGTTTCTGAAATTTTTTTTATGAAACTGAAGAATGTTTCCTTGTTGCTGTTCTCAATTATCCCATTTCATCTAATATTGAACTATAAAAGTGGGAAAAGAAATGTGCTAATATGGCACTAAAAATGCATAGTAAAGATTTAAAGAAAAAATACTATTTTGTTTAGAGAAATAAAACAACCAGAAGAAAAGAGAGTTAAATTTTTTTTCAAAACTAAAGGCTAGCTGCAAAGCATAATTACCTATCTACCAGTACAAAAATCCATAAATTAATTAATAATTATCAGTATCTTTTAATATATCATAGCTATTTCATTCTATTTTCACAAGAGCATAAGTGCAGGAAGTCCAATTTTTGTACTGAGAAACCTACCACTATTGAGTTATACATTTCCATAATTCCAAACCACATTTTTTAAGTAATGCTCTTATCTTTTGAAGATTTTCTTCCACGCTTTCGAGCAACGGTATACTGAACTGGCAGAGCGATAAGGGGAACAATATATGTGTGGGGTAAATGCTTGAGTAAAAATAAACATACGTATGAGTAAATAAGTTTACAAACAGGGTGCATTGCAGTGAATGCAGGTGTGCACAAGAATGTTATTCTATGGTTTGAGAAAAAGGGGCCCTTATTTAAATGAAAGAGGCCCAGTGGTGCTGCGGCTAGCACATCGCACGGCAGCACCACAGGTCCGAGGTTAGGAACCCGGCTGGGCAAGGTCAACTCAGCCTTTCATCCCTTGGGTCGATAAAATGAGTACCAAATTCGCCTGGGGACTAAACACTGGGGGTCCTGCGACAAGCTGACCACTTCTTCAAGGCATATGCTTATACACCCCGAGGCCCAAGGCCAAGAAAGCAGATTTCAGGGCACTGCAGGCCTTGGCCCATTAGGGCTGTTTTCACTACTGAGTTTAGTTTAGTTGAAAATGCATTTCCAACTTGAATGAATTTGTGGAATTTTAGTAGTTAGATATTTTCTCTTTCTGTGGTCATTTAAAGCCATTATTCTGAAGGTTGTTATTCAAAATGGATAACAACCTTCAGAATAATTGCTTGGTTGATGGTAAGGAAGGAACAAGGAAGGAAAAGGAGGCCAGATGGGTGCCAGTCTAAAAATGTGTATGAATGGATAATACTAGCATGGAAGAAAATTAAATTAATATAATCCTAAAGTCGCTAAAAATATAGTGTATCTAACAATTCAGATGGAATGGAAGATGATTATTTATTTATGGATTAAAATAGACGAGGTCCAATTGATTTTGGTCTAATAAAAGCATTCATCCCAAGAGGGTCGGAGCTCTGCTGCATGTATTAGCTCTAGAATTGGTAAAGTTAGCCAAGTAATAAGGTACAATCCAAGGAACTATAATTTAATGAGCCATTTGCAGTTATGCTTTAATACGGTGTGTACTTGCATAGCTTCATCTTTGTGACAAGCATATGACTACTGGCAGAATCAACCGAGTAGCTTTTATACGTTCATTGAACGTTTGAGCAGCAAGCAACTCGAATCCAACATTTATAGTGCACACCTTAAAAATACACTGAAAGCTACTGTCTAGATGGCTCACCTCTTTTATTTCATATGCACAAAATATTATATCACGCTTTCAGTAATGATTTAAAACTCACTACATCAACATGGCATCAGCGCCAAGAGGTGAGCCTTTATGGGCATCGAGAGGCTGTTCTGTGAGGGACGCAGATTCAAAATGTTTGTGTTTCAGTTTTTATTATTACATGGCCTGGATGCCCACCAATGGCACATGGGCTGAGCTGGTCACAGACGCGCTGTGAAAGGTCAACCTTGGCTTGAGATGACGAGAGGGGCCCTAGGGACGAGCGAACTAACACGCCGGTTCGCAGGAGGGTAATACACTCCTCTATCATGAAAAAACTCTGCAACAAGTTTGCATAAAAACAGTCAAAGACAAGTCCCGACCAGCAGTGGTAGCAATTTCTCTAACACCAGCTGGTACCTTGTCCCTGTCCACAGACCTAACGCTGTGAAAACAGTTATGGTGAAGAAGAAAGAGAATTTAATGATGTGCCATAAGATATAATGGAAGATGAATATGACAAACTTTTCATGTTATTAAATAAGGAAATTAGGTTCATAAGGATTTGGTTTGATTTAGTCAACTATGGCAAAGCACACAGGGGCTATACGCCTAAGGGGATCGAGGTCTTTGTGGAGTAATTTTTAAGGGGAACTGGCTCGTATACAAATTACACATGGTGAAAACCACGAAAATGACCGTCCAGCAGCCTGATGGAATGGAACGGAAAATGAATTGGACTGGGATTTGAAACTCTTACTGAAATACCAGTGTTTAGCTACTTTACCACTCAGCTGCTGACGCATTAAGTTCATAAGGAATGTCATTTCTTTTACACAAACAGCATTTAGATGCATGTAGAAATATAAATTTTGTATGCTCATCTTTTAGCATTATTTTTTAAATCTATAATTTTTATATTCGATGTATAACACAACACGTAAATTTCGATTTTATATTTTGTATTAAAAGTGTGCATTACAGCCAGAATATGCGGTAATTTCTAAGCATATTGGTGCATTTCTACAGGTTCGTGGATGTGAAGTGACTGATGACAACACTTGATGAAGAATCGAAATACAATTTATTAGCCAGTATTATTCAGGACAGTTCTAAAAACACGTTAACAGTTGTTGAAAAGACTACATTAAACAAGCTGAAACAACCAGCAACACACACTTCAGGCTATATGGTAAAGACAGCTTTATAGCAAAGCACTAAACTGCAGCTCCTGTCTCAGTCGATCACACTCACAACTCAACACATTCAAGATACTCTTCATGATAAAACTCCCGATATATTCGGCGACACACTCACAATGCACTGACAATATACACTCGATACTAGACTGCTACTCCATGTACAGGCAGAGTTTTGCCTTCGAGAACATTCAGGGGTAAGCCAATAAACATTTCTTCTAGAATGTTCTTTTCGCTCTGTCTATGGTACATCACCAAGCTTGCAAATTAGGCGAGTTAGTGCCAAATCTGGCAACTTTTCCTTTTCCTGCCATTTTCTGGCAACCTTAAACCCACTTTGCGGAGGAAGCTATCTTAGCGCAGTTGGACATATTAATTACATAAATGTTGTATAACTATCTTTTTACTTGATTAGCAATTATCATTTATGAATTTAATAAACATAATTACTATTCTAAATGTTAATAAATATAGATAATTAAAATCTCTAACACAGTGATTGTGAACCCATTTTGTGTGACATGCATCATGCATTTTCAGAACTGTCAACAGAGACAAAAAGTTGCATAATAGAAAAACATTTGTCTCTTGCAACAGCCTCGTCATAGTCTGTCTACGTGTGCTTCACTTACTTCAGTTGAGTTTCAGTGCATACTTGGCAGAAGAATGATTCCATGTGTGACACGGTACCAGAGCTAGGGCTTTCCTGAATTTTGACATGTTGAGTTCAAAAGGTTCACCATCATTGCCTTAACAGGTACACTGCAAATAACCTTGCCTTTGTGACTGATGAAACATCAAGAACAGAAATGGAAGCTAATTTCTGATAAGATAAATAATACTCAAATATTGTTCAGAAACTGATTCACAATACGCATTAAATATCATTTCTTCAATGCCTCAAAACTATTTCCAAATTTCAGTTATTAGCAAAATAACAAGCATTTATGAGGTAAAGTGGACCAACACATGGACCAAAAATTCTAATACAGAACTAAAATTAGGTTAAAAAATAAATATTTAATTTCCTATCAGCACTATGTTACAAGCTACAGTTTTATAAAGAATTATTTTTAAATTGCTATTCCCTCTGAATATCAATTGAAACAACCTAAGTTGTCTAAAGCCTTTACAAATGTCAGGAACATTCTTATGCCGGCCCACCAGTGGCCGAGCGGTAAAGTCGCTGAACATTGATAGTTCGGTCCAAGGTTCGAATCCCGCGAACGGGCTGGCTGCATGGGTGTTTTTGTGGTTTTCCCCACGTGTAACGTGTATACGAGCCAGTTTTCCTTAGAAAGTCCTCCACGAAGGCATCCCTCCCCTTAGGCAGATAGCCCTACTGTACTTTGCCCTAATTAAATACACCACACCATTCTTATGCCACATATGGTTATTTATGAGACTTATACACTTGAAGAGAATTAAGAAGTGACAATAACAAATCTTTGAAATACAATTAATTTGGGATAAGTCTGCAAGCATCCCCCCCCTGTAATGAGAAAATACTAATATAAACATGGGTAGAAGGCATCAGTCACTGCTGTAAAAATTCAAAAGGAAAGCATAAGAGTCTTTCAGGCTTTGTTCACATGGTTTTTCAAACATAACAGCCAAGCTTTGTTGCTAGTTGTAGTGAAGCTTGCTATGTCATAAAGAAAGGTTTAATGGTTTTGTTAATGTGCCTTCCTGCCGACTCGGTACGACAACCAACCAACCACAGCAAAGTAAACATGAACTAACATTCCATCAATTATTTTGTTGAGTCAGGTGTAACTTCCCTGACTGCTACAGTCTAAACCCTGTTAAATGGGTGTGAACAGTTTTAATGACTTTTATGCCTTCAGTCACAATGGTTTATGATTGAAAACACTTCATCTGAGCAAAACCTTACAGAAAAGTAAACCAACAAAAACAAACTGAAGGTATTTTTTTTCTGATTATCAACATTTTAAGTTGGCAAAAAACCTTAGATTAGTTATCCTCATGCCTCACAGATACTGTTCATTTCATGAAAATTTTTAAAGAGAAGCATTTTATAAGGATCATTAAATTTTATAACAAAAACAAATATTTATATGACCGATATTCATGATTTTTTTTTAACGTGTACTTAATCATTGACAGTTCTAATGAAAATATAAATATTTACATAACAACATTCTTTTTAGCAGCATTAAAAAATATGCAAGGGAAAGAAAAAATTACCTGCACTCTTGAAAAAGGTTCAATAATTCTGCACAAGTTTTGCTCTAACATAGTATCATACAAAGTGTTTAAATGTGCTTTAATAATTGGATCATCAACTAATTCCTTTTGATATTTTACAAGAGCCTGGGAAAGGGAAAAATAGATGTAATTAAAAAAAGTATTTGTGTATGAAGAAGAAAACTAAAAAATGTTTTACATTCATGAATAATTGAATATGGACAGCTTGCTTACTGCTTGAAAGTCTGCCATAGATCTTTTGTGACTTGCTTGTGCAATAGCTTTCATAGCATCAATTTCAGGACCAGCATATTTTAGAACTAATTTGCCCATTATAATAGAATGGACTTCCTCCGGTCTATGACAAGAAAACAAATTATTCTTAATTAACTACAAATAGAAGACATTAAAAAATTCTGCAAAACATTTAAAAATAAAATTTACGCCTTGTGTAAGAAAAACTTTGTGCAGTACTTCATGAAAAATATATGTCGTGTTCTTTGTGATGCTAATAAATTACCATGTATACCCGCGTTTAAGTCGACCCCCCCCCCCCCCACTTTGACATAAAAAATTCGTAGAAAATAAGAAACTCGCGGAAGTTGACCCCCCCTTCCAAAATCGATGGAGAAACTTCGAAAATTTTTTAAGTACTACATTTATTCAAAATCATCTGAGAAAAAAAAGTAAATATACGATAAAAAATACCTTGGTAAATAAACCAAATCAAAATCCTTCAATGTCCGATTCATGGTCAGATTCGCCAAACATTTCATAGAACTCTTCTGTCGTCATTGGCTCGTCATCATACATATTTTCAGTCTCGACTCTGTATTGTTACAATCACTACTAGAGCCTTCGTCGTCATTTTCACTTTCAAAAACAGCAGCATCTTCCGTGCCGTCTAGTTCGTTGCTAATACAACATTTTTTAAATGATTTTACAATCATTTCAGAGGGTATTTCGTTCGAAGCATCTTTAACCCACTGAGCAATTAATGTAATATCGGGCTTTTTAATGTTGCCTTCCTTTGTAAATGTTGGTCGACCGGAACTAATCCACTCTGCCCAATATTTTCTAACATTTACTTTGAAAGGCTTATTGTGTGGGCTATTTTTTAAAATTTTGACGTGTACGCCTGTTAACAAAAGTATTTCATGAATGAATAATAACTATTATAAAGACTTATATGTACGTAAAAACGATCTATATTTCTCTTTTCTTGGCGCATTGGCGAAACGTTTTTATTGCTCGATATTGATCGGTTGTTCGGGGGCCGAAAATTCTTTGGTTTAATCGAAACTTACTCTAGTTAAAGTATGAAACTCTGTGATTAGTTCGTCACATAATTTAAGTCCTGAAATTACTTCAAGTAAGTGACTTATTTGATAAGTCATCCAATTTGAGTGTGGGAAAAAAACAACTGCATTATATAAAGAAATTTTTGAACTTCCGATTTTTAAAATTTTTTATGGCCCCGCGTATAAGTCGACCCCCCACTTTGAAGTCTTCTTTTTGTCCAAAATATCTCGACTTATACGCGGGTATATACGGTATATATTGAATAATCTCATTTACAGTATTATGTAATAAATAATGAAATATTCCATTTTAAAAGTACTGGTTGCCAGATAAACTTAACATTTACTCCTAATTTGAAATAAACTGTTTAAAAGAAAATTCGAAAATAAGTTTATAATACAAAAACAAGAACTACTAGCTTTTATTGGTGCTTCTCTAAATGAAACTAATGTTTATTTTTGTAAGAAAAGTATTCATGCATTCATCTCACTTTTCTGTTAGCCTCATGTAACTAGTTTAAGAGTGTAAAGAATTTGGGATAAACTATTTTTTTTCTTTTATTTTTATAATAATTATGAAATATTAACATGCTGTTAATAGTGTAACCAGTAATGGTTTTCAGTAGCCCTGTTAACTAAAAACTGAAGCAAATATATTTCAGAAACCACTGAAATTCACAGGAAAATCTCTGATAGCTACCAGCACTCAAACTGATCAATATTTCTGAGAAGAAAATAAACACTGGTGTTGAATCTCAGCTCTCTAAGACAACAACTTCCATAAAAGATTCAAGTCATCTGAAACTATGGGTAGTCTTTTCAGGGTTTATATTCTGCAATGTTTATTGCCATATAACTTACCAGACCCCACTCTTATTTTTTAGGTATTTCATAATTTTATGCATAACTGCTTCATTATTTTACATATAAATAATGAAGCTTGAATAAAAGTGCTTACGAAATTACAATACCATTTTAAACTACAAAAAATACTCACAAATTTAACATTATCTTTGACAGTAACATATATTTTAAAGCAACAATGGCCTTTGGGTTGTCTATGGAATCATATCCTTCAAAAGCTTCATAAAAGTAAGAAAAAGCAGTCTTGAAATCCCGCTCATCTGCAGCATGAAGAATACCAGATTGTAAATCTAAGGCAGCTTGTAATTTAGGAGGGCAGTATATTGCATTGGCAGTTGTTCGAGCAGATGTCAAAGCAGCCCTACAGAAAAAAGTAGTTTTTAAGACAATAAATAGATTTTTATGTACTGCTAAGTTATTCTGTGGCAGCTCATATCTTTTTAATTTTTCATATTTATTATTATGATACTACCTGGCTCTGGGTAAGTTACTCAATGCATGATACACTTTGCTTTCCAAAAGCTGAACTTCGACTAAAAGATTTTTATCGTCCATCTTTTTCAATTCCTTTAGCAATGAGCTACCTGATAAATTTAATTTGAAAAGTGATAGATTATAAGAATATTTTGTTAAAAGCAATTAATCTCACTAATATGTTGAAAAAATTCATAATGGCAACATGAAATCATGCAAGAATCTAGAACAGCAAACTTACCAAGACTTAGTGCCTCAGCATATTTTTGTGTATCATAATACAATGCTACCAGCCTAGCCTATAAAAAAGATTTACTGATGTTATAAACACAATACAATTTTTTTAGAATAAATAGATCGAGGAGAAATTAAATTAGTTTGGACTGGAAATAATACACCATATGCAAGCATTCTTAAACACAGTAAAACACTGCTTACATGACTTTCGAAGAATCAAAAGATTTATAATTGAAACATGCTGAATATATTTCTACTATATAATGGCACAAGCATATTTTTAAAATGTTATCTTTAATTTTAAACGTTTAATTTTAAAATTAGTTTCTTGTTTTTCTTACATTTTTATAGCTTTTAAAATTGCATATTACTGTATTTTATACTCTTTACTTTATATTTACTTTACTCTCATATTTTACTAATTCAGAAGTCAAACAACAAAAATCAGCGTTATATTTTCAAAATTTTCACAGGACTAGTTTCAATGGTTTTACCAAATCACCATCCTCAGCTGCAAAACCGCAAAATCTCATATTTTACTTGTAATAATTTTACTCTCACCATGTATTAAAGATTATGCTTATAAGGAATGGAAAAAATTTCATGAACTTTTTTCCTTTTATGTTTGTGATTTAAAAGACCAATAAAATTTTTTTATGTTATTTAGCTAATGGATAATTTGAAAACCTCTCTTAAAGTGAACAAATACACCTGTGCAGCCATGACTTCTTTTATCAAAGGGACATCATGTTTATCTTTGTCAGAATCGCTTTTGTCTTCATAATTTCCCCCCCCCCTTCAATTAAATTATTTGTTATTGGAATTGAACTGCAACTCAGTTTAAGTTGCAATTGACATACACCCAGAAGTTAATGTTGTATTCTGATAAATTCCATTTATTAATATTGACTTTTTTCTCATTATATGCCTCATTATGTTAAAAAAAATTCCCGGCTTGCAGCAATACAACTGTCTTAAAAGTTTCTTCTCCGTGGGAAAATTCTGAAAACATAATTGAAAACAAAAAAAAATATTTTTTTTCTATAACATTTTTTTTTTTTTTTACTTATTTATTACTCCTACATCATATGGCTAAACATGATTAATACAGTTAAGGAAAAAAAAGGTGGGAAGAATGGAAGGAGAGAGAGCAACCTTGACTTTCATCAAAAATTCAGTACCTTGAGGAAGAGATCCACAGAAGATAAAATTTAATGAATTTTTCATTTTTGAAATTAGTTTCATATTTCTTAAATATTTTTTAAAGCATACTTTCAAGATATGAACTAAAACCTTGGGTTGTCATTATGGTGATAGCTATGATATAATTTTTTTTTTTATTTCTCTGACAGAAGCCTAATTTTTCTGACCCATCAGAATTTACAATACGATTTTAAATTAAATTTATTATCCTCCCCCTCAAGGCAAAAGATCAAAATTTTCTTGTTAAAGTAGGTTGCATGGAAACACATAATATGTTTTTATTTACACTAATACATTTATTGCCTGGGTAGATACATGAAAATTTTGTTGCCAGGGTAGGTATTTGAACATTCACCAGAAGCCGATTAATATGAAAACAAATTATTAACAGATACCTCACCATGTGATTGGTATTTAGATAACGTGGCACCATTTCTCAATACTTTTGACAGTATGAAATTTGCTTTGCCACTTAGAGATTTACAAACAATTTCATTGCAGAGTATTGTGGTAACCGGCAGCAGGTGGTGCTGATGACTCCATGTAATGATTATTACATTTATTGAGGTTGTGTCATACTTACTGCATTTTGAACTCAAAACATATTTATTACCAATTATGAGCTCTGTTACATATATAATAATATGGAAGACATAGAACAATGATTGTATGTAAGATTACTGTCATCGTTATGTGAGGATCTTGCTAATGGCGGGTCTTCCTAGCCAAGAGTTCCATAGCATTCTGGCGTATTGTTTAGTTGGAAACAATAGGCAGACTGAATTAGTCGTACCCCCTTAATTTTTTTTGGTTGTATTTTAAATCCTCCAATTTGTTATACGATATGAGAGGAAAACCAAGATCACTGGTTCGTCAGCACTCATGAAAGAGAGAGGCTTTGACAGACACAGTGCAGAATGCAAAAATCTCTTGACACTGGTCATGAAGTTACATCTCTTGTACTGTCAAGTGAAACGAATTATTGCATCTATGATGTCAGACCATGTCGTCTGGCACATCATAACAGCTTGAAAACACTGACTTGCGAGGACCACACATACGATTTTCTCATCTTTGTGTGGTCCACTGCAATATGAATTTATACAGCCAACCTGCTCAGACTCTATACTCAGTGTTGAAATTTTTCCCAATTTCTTTTATTTTTACATGAGCACAGAACTTCTGATATACTTGATGATCAAATATTTATAAATATGTAAAATATCATTTGCTATTGAAAATTGGCAGCCATCTAAACAGACACACAATAAAAATGTAGCAGTTCCTGAATTTCATTTTACTTAGAAATTATCCTTTTGAGTATTGAGGATGGAAAATTCAATTTCTTATTCTCACTCAGTTCAGAAAATACATTTTTTTCTTCTTAACCTTTTAAAACAATGATTTTTTTTTTTTTAAGTTGAAGAATTTTGCTTAAAAGATGGCATCATTAAAAGAATTTGTAAATGTAACAATGTGGCATAACTACAGTGGGTAAATGCAATAGTACAACATTAAGAACAGAGTTGCCAAAAATAAATGCTTAAGTCCACAATTTACAGTACAAAAATTAACTATATATGCCAAAATGGTCAAATACAGAAGAAATTCACATACTCTATAATTCACGAGAAGCTAACCTGAGAACACATACAAAGCTAGAATGACATTTTCACCCTGATTTCCAAGTTATTCATACACAGTAAACTGCCAGCGGATATTCAATTCCTCCAATTCGCTACACATATGGCGACTTCTTGCCAAATCCAGCGTATTTAAATAACAATCTTTTTATGGAGGGAAGCTACAGTTGAAATTGATAGTTCACCATAGTGTAAAATGCAGGGCACGTTATTCATTGTCTTAATTTATATGAAATATTTCACTATTACCTAAATGTGACGAATACGAATTTGATAATATTTAAAACTTGAAAGTGGAAGACCTAACAATGTATTCCTTGCAGTTTGGGTCAAATTTTTTCCCCCCAAGACCATTCGCTTAGTTAAAAGTAAAATGTATAAATTTGGAAATCTGGTAGTAAGTTATTTTCTTTTAATTTTTAAGAATTTACGCAGCTTCTTGCTACCAAAACAGTGAATGAGGGGAAAATTTTTATTTTTATTTTTTAAAGAGGTTATTTTGATTTTAATTTGCGATTGTTTAAAAAACTCTGACAATATTTTATAGCAGACATTATGAAAATTATATCCTGTATTAATTGTCTCCTAAGACACACACATTTCCAGTCAGGCTCAGAAAATAACCCTCCTACAGAACGTTTTAATCCTATCTTTCTGATTACTGTTTAAAATCAAAAATAAAATGAATAAAAAGACTGGACATTGAGATATTCAGATTGCAGTCTAACGACTAAAGAGACTAACGATTAAAAATTTTACGGTATTAGAAAAATATTAAAGCTTTAAAATTGTTAAACAAACAAAGAATTAAGAATCAAATGATCTTATACCAATTAATTCCACCAATCAATTAAAATTATAACATTAGAAATAATATCCAACTAAGGGGTGAGATGCATTTCGTGGAGGACTTTCTAAAGGAAACAAGCTTGCATTTACGTTACACACGGGATACACACTGAAACCGACCATGAATACAGCTCTTTCGCTTACGTTCAAACGATTCAGCGATTTAACCACTCGGCTACTGGTGGGACACTTTCATATTATATTTTCTAAGGAAATTGTTAGCTTATATTTATAATATTATTTATAACTGCTTATAGTTCTGCCTTTTTTATGGCCTTGAAAACGGCTTTTGTAATTTTAATTTGTGGCATCGGAAAGGGTCTTTTTTTAAAACTGGGGTATTCAATCCCTCAAAGTTTATAATAAGTAACAATATCGTTATGGTATTTATTAGGAAAATGCCCTCCCGTAATTGACAAAAATATTCATTATGATTACCTTAGTGGTACTGTTTATTCAAGTTTATAATGTTTTCCAGCTTTATGAGGTTGAAAATTATACACATATGTCGAAGATGAAGCAGATACCATAAAAATTTATACCTTTCTTCTCCGCCCCGGTCAGTGAATGAATACCTTAAGTGCTTTTGTCGTCAAGAGTGGGGTGAGGTCGGGGTTCCTGGAATTTGCAGTTTCGTCAATAATGCCAAAAAAGGGAGATGTCTTCCTGCTGGTCATTGAATGATTGGCACGATTTAGCAAATTTTTAAACAAAAAGCTGGACGCAACGTAATCTATCATTTCACACATTTTTTCCTTCCTTTCTCTTTGTTCAACAGTATTCATATATAACAGGGTAATTTTACAATATTACTTTCTCAAAATGGTAGAACTATATTCTACGGCAGACACATACACTTTCTTACTATATTCAGTGTTCTCAACTTAGGTTGACCTGAAGTATAGTCGCAACTTTTCAGCTGCTAAATGATCACCAGGGCAAAAGATAACAGACTGGCTGCTCATTTCCAATAACCTACCAGCATTTTAGATGAAATGTTCAGACATTGTCCTGATAACAACACTTAAATTAGTCTGCGTTATTAATTGTATGCACAAGATTGAAAAACATTCCTAAATAACAATATTTTACTGAAATTAAATTTCTTATATATATATTATTATTACTATTAGGACTAACAACACATTTTAGACTTTCTATACAGTACAGTCTGTAATCTGGACTCGTTGGGACTTCGGTGATTCTGAATTAAGGATTTTTCTGGATTATAGATCATCAATTTAAATCTGGTAAGATGGCATGCAGAAATTATACAATTAAAAATATGAAACTGTAATTTATGAAATAAAGAGCAATTATAATCTAAAGGCTATCAAAATTTACACACACACACAAAAAAAAGAGCTTAATATTTATTTGTTTACTTTATTAAACATTTCTTTCAATGTAAGTTGTTTAAGTTGCTTCGTTTTTTTGTGCTAAATGTGCATGCGTAAGTTTGTGGCTTTGGGGTCCGGATTATAGATCATTCTGGATAATGAACGTCCGGATTACAGACTTTGTATTGTATTAAACAATAGTCATATGAACACTTAATTTAAAGGTAGATTATACATTGTTACATTTTGTTTACTGATAAGAATTTCCATCATTTAAATCAGGAAGCAGCTTTCAAAAAGGAATCCCAAACAAGATTAAAGATGCACATTATATTATGCTTTTTGCATTTCAAAATGTTATTTTATGATTAAATTACAAGCAAATTTTACGTATGACAGTATGAATGAAATGTACCCATAAAACTAACTAATGAATTAACATTGATAAAATCGTCCATTTATATGCTTGAAATTATAAGCATTAGTTGAGCGAAGAAGGTAATATTTTGGTACTGGCAAAGCAAGCTTTTTTCTCAGTGAAAATATTTTACCCAAACATAATAACACTGTTTAATCTGCACTTCCCAAAATCAACAACTTTTCAAAAACACTTGTCGTAATAATTTTACAGTGTAATAACTATTATGAAATACTACTATTTTGTTCGTTGTAGCATTTTTAAGGACCTATTCACAGCAATTAATTGCATGTTGTTTGGATATTATGATTCATTAAATTAGCCATTTCTGTTCCTCATTAGTCCAGTTGTTTAATTTAATCTTTAAATTTAGTTGTTGATTGTTAAATTTAAGGACAAGTTTAGATGGAGTTTTAAGAAAAATAATGATTCTTCTTACAAATAAAATGGCCAATATATTTACCTATGAATTTATTATGAATATACTACGAGGGCTATCCAGAAAGTAGATTACGTTTTGGAATAAAAAAATAAACAAAGTATAGGAAACAAATTTTATTATATACAGATGAAGCCACACTCAAATACTACTTTTCTACATAGTCACCATACAAATTAAGGCATTTATCGTAGCGATGTACGAGCTTGGAAATTCCTTCGTCGTCGAAAAATTCGGCCGCCTGCGCCTTCAACCACTTCGTTACCTCTTCTTGCCTTCCATCTTGCACAAAACTTGTGGTAACCAAGCTTTTCGCTGATGATTTTCGTGCAACAAACTTCGCGAAATTTGTGGAAAACTCAAAGAAAGTTCCGTTATTGTGAAATTTCGATTTTCATTCACGGACTTTAGCATCGACTTTTTCGAGAAGTTCGGCGGTCACTATGCTGGGTCTCCCACTTCGATCTTCGTCGTGAACATTGGTTCGGCCATTTTGAAATCTTATGACCCACTGACGCACTCCACCTTCAGTGATAATGTTGTCCCCATACACTTCACGAAGCTGCCGATAGATTTCTATCGGTTTACAGTTTTTTGCAGTCAGAAACCTTATTACTGAGCGCACCTCGCAGCTCGCGGGATTTTCAATTAACGCAGACATTTCAAACCGTCACAGTATCTGAACGGAGCACAGCACGAACCTCTCACTAGCACGGCTAGATGCAGACTGAGCTGCGCAACGCTCTGACCCCAAGATGGCCGCGCTAGCCCCGCCCCTAGCGGACACAGACGGAAACGTAATCTACTTCCTGGATGGCCCTCGTATGAAATACTCTTCATATACATTTGTAGTTTTGTCCGAATTTTTTTTACATTAATTTTTATTATTAGTGATTAGATTTTTTTTTATTTGCTTATAATGAACAGATAATTTCAATATGAATAATTTCTGCTTGTATAATTTATGTTCAGATAAAATTTTAATATTTCGAATTTTTGTAATCGCAGTTTATTTATTGACTGTGGAGCATAAACTAATTACCTTCATGTGTTATGAAACAGAAGTTAAATAATTCCATCTCACTGATTCAAAATATTCCTTAGAGCTCTGTAGCAAGACCTGTATTTCATCCTTGATTGTCTCATTTCATACCTTTTAATAGCATCATCTAATTGGCCAATTTTAACTAATTTCCCAAAATCTTCAACAAAAGGTGTTTATGGTAAGGATCATTTCGATAGCCAGCTAAGAGAATAACAATTTAACTATCAATCTTTACAGTTACTGGATTCATGAAATTTAGTCACTGTTTCCAAGAAAGGATTACTACTTGTTCATATGTGTAATATTAATAGGGGCCTCAGTCACTTTTTTTGGGGGGGGAGTTAGATTTATTTCCTTGAAATGAAACTGAAACCAAATTTTCAGAGAGCGAAAATATTACAGGTGCATATCTTCCTCATGACCAAACTAACAGATATACTTTTAAATAAAAGGGAAAGGATATTAGGATGATTGATCATAAAGCATTTAATTTCTTTCTAAAATAACCACTGCCATAAAAATTATTTTACAATATAAATACTTTGCTTTAACATATATGCTGCTTCACATTTTCTCCTCATTTTCAGTACATTATAAATTATTGATGATATAACAGGCCATTAAAAAAATAAGAATACAGAATTTTGATTTCTAAAAGAATCATGCAAATTACTTAAGAGAATAAATTATCAATGAATACATGAATACATGATACATTTAGTATTATTAAAAGAATATATTTTTTTTAAACCTTATAACAAATTACATAATATACTTAATTTTTTAAACTACCTCCAATGACTGTCTTAAAAAAGTTCTTTTCTCTTGCTTTGCCCATTCGATACATTCCATACACAAATCAACCTAAAATATTAAATGAATAGATTGCTTAATATTTGTGCCTATCTGCACTATATAACAGAAATTTCTTCATAAAAATCGTAATTGTCTTATAAATTATCATGCATAAAAATATTTAGGAGAAATATATAAAATAATGAAGATAATAAATATAAAACTTCTTTTCATTTCAGCATTCTCATTCTATTTTATCTTTTGAAAGGCAAGAAGCCAATTTTGGAAGACACTACAATGGCCTAATAAAGTTTTGCCCCAATTATTGATTGATTTTAACATTTGAAATAATTTTAACTTCCAAAAAAATGTTCTTCAGAGTTGTAAATTATTTAAATGAATTCACCACACAACACACACAAAAAAAAAAAAAAAAAAAGTATGAATATCTGTTGAATAAACATTAAAAGTGCATTAATAAAGTGTTTTCACTCCATTACTTTCAACACATCATTATAAATAAAAACGTTTTCAAACACATGTCTATTCACAAATACTTTATTTCAGATCTCTAACAGTTCTAGGAAAAAGGTTTGATTTTTAAATATTTAATTTATGTATTAAATATGCCTGTCCTTATTTATAAAAACATTGTTCCTAAACACTACCAGGGAAAGAAAATTTCCAGCATGCATGCTTGGCATTTATTTCATTAACTTTGAATGTGAAATATAGCACTTTGCTTACATCCAAATTTTAGTTCAGTCAGTGGATTTCTATACACTAACTAAACAAAATACAGAATGCATACTTTGTTTTCATACTGCTTATAATACCTATGTGGATAAAATAGCATAAATGGTATTTAGATATTAACACAACTGCACCATCTATAGAAGAATGTTAATTTATAATTGCAAAAATGTATTTATTATAAATATTAATTACTTAGTTGCCAACCCAATACATTAAACGCGCATGCGTAAGCGTGTTATTGCGCATGCCTAAACGCATTATGCGTTTAGGCATGCGCAGAAAGTTTGTAGCTTTAAGGTTCGGATTATAGATCATTCCGGATTAAAGACTTTTGACTGTATATGTTTTATATGTTGGTAAATTGTGGATATTTTGTTTTAAAAATGATTGATCTTATGTTCCAGTTACGTTTTTATGCCTTTAGTTAATCTGTATGCAATGACTGTAGAACTGTCAACAACTGAAAAGCTTAACAAGGCAGAATTTGTTTACATATGAAACTGTTAGTATAGCAAATTAAGTCAGCTGATGCATCAACTTCAGTATCAGTGGGGTTGAAAAACTAGATTTTGCTGCCTTAAAAATCTTACTGCCCATAAGCCAAACTGCTTGTTTTTGCACAGAAACTCCACAATTTTAATTGTAAAAAAATGATTTTTTTAAAACTGTATTTGGTGTTTTAGGCTTATTTTGTATTTTACAATTTTTAATGAAGACGTTTTGAGTTTTTATTATTTTTGCCTTGTTGCGGCATGAGAACTGAATTGATTGAATGGGAAATATATCTCTAATAAAATTCAAGGAAATAAGTTTAAAATGAAGTGCAGAAAAAAAATACATATAATTTAATAGGCCATACAAGGAAGTCATGTGGTGTCCACATCAGATATTTTTAATTAAATATTTATATGGAACTAATTATTTTTTTAGGGGGATGCAGACTGTGTTTGGCATACAAATCTGAAAGCATTTAATGCATTTTGAAAACCGCATTTAAAAATTTATCAACCACATAAGATGATTATGAAGCTTGACATTCAATAAGATAACTAAAGTTCTTTTTTGTGGTAAAAAGTGAGGACATAACTGCCACAACGAATCCAATGTTTGATTACTTACTCAGTATACGTCATTTTAGTGTGAATGACACAAGATATATGTAAAATGCACTTCTAATTTTATATAGTACAAGAAGCTGACACATTTCTGACCAGAAGCCCAAGATTTTTGTAAACAAATTTAAATAGAACTAAATGTTCACACTAAACAACCATAATTCTAAAAAATGTTTAATACTCAAAAACTTACTTACTTCCATCCCTGTCTCTGCTTCCATGTCCAAAAACAAATCCACAAGTGCTCGAACAAGCTTTGAAGCTTTAGCTTTGCTAATACGATTTAAAAATGGTCTAGTTGTTTTAATTAAGTTGCCAAGTTCTAATAAGAAAAGAAAGATATACACATGTCTGTGAAATAATTCTTTTATTTTTTAATTACATTAAAACTGTAATGCTTAATTTTTTAAAAAAAATTATCAGTATAATAATATAATAATATTTAAATATAGTTGAATCCTGTTATAAGAAGTTCCCAGATATTGTGAATGAGCCTTTTGGTCTTGTCCTATTTCCTATGCACCTATTGTTATTTTATACTGTTTTAGTGAACCTCTAAAGATATGAAAGTTGGATATAACGAAATATGTGGAAATCTTCAATTAAAACACAGTTTTTTTATACTTTTAATATTTTTTTTCAAAAATTTAAGTTTGAATGAAAAAATCAATAACCCTTAAAATAATACACATTTAAGATATACAGATCCACATTCCATTCACAAAGGAAAACACCTTTATGTTACTTTTCTTTTATCGTCACCCCTTTTTTTCTCTATATTCAAAACAGACTCAGCAAGACATGTATGAATCTAATTCTAGGAAAACGGGGACATGATAAGCATATTTTAGGAAACCCTATTGTGCACATGACTTCTAAATCAAAGAACATGAATTGGCTCTCCAATTCCATTCAAATTCTTTGAATGAGCTGCCAGAATTTTACTTAAGGCTGATGCTATAATGAAATTTTCAAAATTTTTACTATTGAGAAAAACGAAGAAGCAGTGAATCTTATGAATCCTGTCTTTAGGAATGAAATTTGGATCCTTGTTGGTTTTCTTTGAGTATAAACCCCCTGAACTGGGCTTCGTCTCTCAAACCAGGGTTTTGCATACTTTAGGTTTTTTGTAAGACATAAAATATTCATTCCTTATAGCAGCTATTGAATCTTTGCATCCTGAAAAAAATTAATGCATTTTCATTAGACATAATATGACAAATTAGTTGTGAAATTTTCTTCCATTTTCATTTTTTTCAAAAAACTAAACTCTCACATATTCTTTAATCAATCTACACTCTATTCCTGTGTAACTATTCATCCACATGGGGAGAAGTAAATTAAAAATATTCTACATCAAAGATGTAAAAAAAAAAAAAAAAAAAAAAAAAAAAAAAAAAGCTAAAATTCTTCTAGTTTCTATAAAGTGTCTGAAAAAGAGTTACAAAAATACGATAAGGAATTTTCAGTCAAAAATAAAAAGATTCTACTTGATTAACTATACTGCACCCGCTTGTTGGAAACTTAAGATGAATTAAGATTGCCTTCTTGCCCCTGAATGCAACTTCACTTCTCGAACCTATGGACCAAGGTATGATCAGAAGCTTGAAGCATCATTCCTGAATATTTACTTCCCCCCCTTTTTTTTGACACTGATCTAAGAAAGGGTGTTCAAGAGGAATATGAAAAAGAGGATTTATCTGTTACTAAATCAGGGTTCGTACACATTTCTGCACATGGAAATTAAGTACTTTTAAGGGCCTATCAGCAAAGGGAGCTGAATAAATTCAATTAAAGATATCATCTATGCCTGAACTTGTCTTTTGTAATACCATCCTAAGAATAAAACAGATCGTAAGTAGGATGTATTATTATTAAATATAATTTAATAAAACATAATTATAAAACAAATTTGGGAATAAAATTAATTTAAAAAAATTTATCATATATTAAAAGTTTTATACTTAGAATAGCTGGACATATTTGTAAGATTAGTGACTTTTTATTTACGATTTACTAACAATTAGCTTTCTGTTGATTTTTCTTTCATACCTCATTTTGACACGTACTTACTCAGTCTAGAAGTTTAGTACATAGCAGGTAGATTTTATGTCAAAAGGCATAGGTTAAAATGAGAAGTAAAACCATAATCTGCATGATTCGTAACAGAAGACTGACCATTGCCCCCCTGCTGCTTGGCTAGAGAGACCTGCTGATTAGCACAAGCCTGAAAGCTTGATTGTAGGCACAGTTGGCAAGTTTTGAAAGTTAGTTGTGCTCCAAGTTGTTGCTAAAATGTACTCTAAGTTGTCTTTGAAAGTTAGTTGATAGTTGTGCAGTTGTGTCTGATACAGTTCATGTTGTAGCTTCATGTAGAGTTCCTGGGTAAGTTTAAAGTATATTAACTGTGTAACTGAAGTAATACAGTTACTATATTTTAAGCTTCCACTAAAGCACTAGAAGTGATAAGTTGTTTTGTATTATTTTAAGTCTCACTAGATGCAAAGAATATTTTACATTTAATTTGTATACTTTTGTGTTGTACCTTGTGACCAGGGTAAATATAATGAAAGACAATAACTCACTTTAATACGCAGAGATGCCTTTTAAGGGTGAGCAATTAGTTACAAATAATTAAATTAGGTAGTTAGATGCCCTTAGTCATTATAGATTTACACGACCAGTATTAAATATTTTTTTGTATTTTAAAAATATTTGTCAAAAAAGCACTATCAAAATCACGATCTCATAACATTTCACAGTTTAAAATACATATAATTTATGACATTGATTCTAAAGTGATATTAGGATAATTACACATTGAAAACTACAAAACATAAATGTTTTGTAGCAACAACATACAAATTTATGCATCTTTTTAATTTTATAGGGATATTTAAATTTCTAAGAGCTATTTTTAATTTTGAAACCTTTTCCTTTAAATTTTTGTTTTCCACCTACAACGATACAATGAAATTTTAGTATTGTGCTTTATGTAAATGAAGTAGAACCAGTATTTAATGAGAAGTTCAGTCACTTCTGTAGAAGAGCTCAGAATTTCTCAATAGAGTGTGTCTGCCTTCAGGCCACATCATTCTTTTAAGAATATTTTACTATGTACGCCTATAGTCTTACATGCCTGTTAGTTTCCGGCGGTGAGGTTTAATTACAAGCCAACTCAGCTATCTCAGTACAGCTTCGGCTAAAGATTGGCTAGTTATAATTAATTTAGTTTCTTGTTTTCTATCTTATGTTAAAGCCCAAGTGGAGGGCTTTCCTTTAAGCCTGAGAGAGGCCATCTGCTAGCATTTTTTTGAGTGAATAAAAGGATATTTTAACCATTCTTTGAAATTATATTTTATAGTTGTAAAAAGACCAGCTAATAGTCGCTGGATACTTCCCTAAAGTTCTAGTAGACAAGGACATTTAAATTAACCAGAACTTTATAATTTGAAGCTTTTTGACATTTTGGCTAATTCATATAAATGTTCTTCTCTTTAAACATCTTTTATAACAATTAGAAATTTGTTTCAATATACAAACTACTGTTCCCACTAGTTTCTGCATGCTTTATCTCCTAACTCGTCAATCTCTCAGCAATGCACCTATGAGGTATTAATTGATTTGATAAAAGTTAAATAGTCCAAAATCCCGGTCAGATGTGAAGCAAATTACTGCCATTTCCGAAATTATCTACAAAGTCAGGTAAAGTTTTAAATAAACCTCTTATTTAAAAAGAACTCAGAACATAAAGGAACGTTCTTAAGCTAACAAAATCATCTACAGCTTGTGGTGATGCAATTAAACAGGAACAATCAAATTCAAATTAAAAATGTGGTCTAATAGTAAAAGACCATACAATTTAATTTGAATCTATGCTGGCTAGGTAACTCTATCTTTGTAATAAATTCAAATGTCAGCAGCGATAACACAAAGACGAATAATTACAAATTATCAGAGAAGGCAGGAACTAATGCTGTGTGCAAACGGAAGCCAGAAACACACTGTGTCTTACAATTCAAAAACTTCAGTTCAGAAGCTATCTAACTGATTTATATTCTGATGAGGAAATGGAAAGGGGAAGACTGAAATTATAAACAACTAGTTAATTTACATAATAATAACTGTACATAGCTTTGACAAATAACTGTCTTTCTCTTTACGTATTCAGTTTTTTTATTTAATATGTCTCCTCTTCATTTTAGAATTTTTGGATTTAATCAGAGATTTCTGTTATTCTAAAAACTAAATGCATTTTGAACATATAGAAAAAGCTGTTAATTTTATTTCTTTGATAATATGAACATTCAGAATAAATATAAAATAATATATGGTAAGGACCAAAATTTTGTGGCAGAACTTTTAGAATTTAGTGACACATCAAGCAACAAAATATAGTATTGGCAAAACTTTTAGAATTTACAACCCACAGGAGATTGCATCAGGTAAGGAAATGCCTAATGTCAGCCCTATTTATAATGCACGGAGACATACAAGATGAATCTTTTAAACTGTCAGTTTTCCATTTCTTTATAAACAGAAAAATTCCTTTTTATAAATGCCTGTCCATGTGATAAGATTAGAAGAACTTTTTATATTTTGCATGCTCGTATCTACTGAAAAGTAGAGAAAATAAAGGGAAGCTAAACACATTAAGAAAAAGACTTCTAGTATCAGAAGTAGAACATTCAGATATTATATTTCCATTGTTTTTCCTAAAACTCTGCAAAAGTAAGAAACTCATCACATACTTTCTGTAAAATACATCCATTATGTCTTGATACTAAGAAGACATTTTTTATTTTGTCACATTTTTCTGAAATCTTCTAGAATCTTGCCTTCAAATCTTTTTAAACTGTCAAAGTTGCAATGTCTAAAATCCTAAAGAAAAATTACCCCTACCAATTTTGTAACAGCAAAACTAAAAATATTTTTTTAAAGAGGTAAAAAATGTAAAATTAATTTTATAGAGAAAACATACATATTCTGAGAATTCTGAATATTCTAATACAATTACATTGAAAAAACTCTTACTATGAAAAAATTAAAAAGAAGAAAATTAAAAAGAAAGACATTTTTAATTAACTACATAGCCATTTTGCTTTTGCTAAGAACTGTTTCACAAACTGTGCCTTATAGCATTCATTACCTTATTTATTTTTTAGATTCAAGATAGTGTACAATAAACTCGCCAAAATGGAAAGTAATGTCGCTTTATAATATGAGAGTGAAAAATAAAAATGTTTTTTAATGTTAGTTCTTAAATATAATTTCAATATATTACCATTATTTTAATGATTTTCAATGTCGGCGAAAAATTACCAGATCTTCAAATTAAAAACTTTTTATAGAAACTGATCTTAAAAATCACCAAAATGTTGATAAGTTGCCAAATTTAGAACCATTTAATAAAAGAATTAACATGCCCTAAAGCAAAAAATTGTTTAAATGCTCTTCATTAAAAAATAAAATGAAATAATTTCAAAATGTTTCACTTCTTGCCCAGAAACTTGAGTATCCAACGTTTATATTAAAAACAGGAACAAATTATAACTCATGAACACATTCAAAAGATAACCACATTTGTCAGTGAATCACCAAAAATATTCCTCCAAAATGGTAATTCAGACTCAAAATGGCAGTCACAAAAACAGACAGAAATTTCAGATGATTAAAATTAAGGACCTTCTGCCAATTTTGGCTGAAATTAAAGACTTTTAAGGACCAAAAATCAGGACCATGCAAACCCTGTTAAATGCATATAAGTATTCTGTACTGTGCCAGGCGCATAGGAAAAAAATTAGTGCTTGTGATTAGACATACTTTTCCGACATAACTTTCTCTTGGTGTATTGAAGTTTAGGAGCAATTCTTACAGTTTTGTTTTTGTTGAATGACACGCATAAGTGACATGGAAATGTTAAAATTATGATTTGTTTTCTTTTAACAATAATGCCATACGAAAAGATTTATTTGCAACGTTCTGCAGATGGCTTCCTGTTTTATGGAATAATAAAATTATAAAATCCTTTAAAGATGCTTTTATTACCAGACACAAACTTAAGCATTTAGATTATATAAATAGCAAGTTCTAAAATTTAGTACAAAAACCAAAACACACTGGATTACCTAACGTTTTTGACCCAACTGCAAAGGCAGTGTGTACTTGTAAGTATATTATTATTGCAATTTTGTTGCGCTCATTTCCTTTCATGTTGCAAAAAATATTTCCTTTGCAAATGCATATGTTGTTCCCATGTTAGTATCCATGTCTTTCCCATTTCTAATATTCTGTTGCCTTAAATGAAAGAAAAAAGTGCATTCAGTATTGTTGCTGAATTTAATACACATGTATAAGGAAATAAACTTCCTTTTCTGATAAACACTATTTTTACAAAAAAGTATGAAAGATATTACACATTAAAAATGGGCAATATTCATAAAGTAATATTATTTAATTTAAACTTACATGTCTTTATTTCTCTGATGCAAATCTATAGTAGTCTAACTTCAAAAATCCTGACTTCAAACTTATCCTGACTAACTACAAATATAGTGAATTTACTGTGTATTATGTTAACTCACAACATTTTTGTGATCTGCAAAAGCTTATATTTTGAAGATTATATCTGCAGAGATTGGATATATAATGAACATGAAATAATAAATTAATAATCACCCCACCTTTACTATAAAGTTTTAAATTAAGAATATTAAAAATCTCTGCACCTAATATTAATACACACTTACAGATTTAGCACAATAGAAGAAATACTTTTTCTCTCAGGGGGGGGGGAACTCACTGCAATTTTTTAATTTAATTCACCACACTACAATGTCGTAAGAAGTGTAATCTCATGTAACCAAAAATAATGCAAAGTAATTTATTGTATAAATTTATTAAAGCATACTGAAACTGCAGAACAATGACAAACAAATTTAATAACTGCGATTAAAATCTTAATATTTTTTTTTTTTTTAATTAGATTTCTAATCCACTTCTTTTTGTAGATGTGACAATGTTACCACCAGCTACAGCAAAACGAACATCAGGTGCCTTAAAGGTTGTTATAGCAGGATTTGAATGTATATTGCTTTAAGTACGAAGGTTTCCTCTTCTTCTTCTTCTTTATTTTATTTATTTATTTATTTATTTTTTTCTCTCTTTTGAAAATTATCTTACACTAAGCATTTAAAAAAAAATTATTTGTCAAAAGGCAGAAGTTCAGATCATAAGTTTGGGGATATTTGGAAAAGACTGAAACATACGAATATAAATATTACACTTACCTGCTCTACCAGTTTGACTGAATAACTGCCCCAATTCCAAAATACTTTGCTCTTTAACACGAAGGACTTCTTCATCATTCTTGTCTTCATCATTAGACGAAACTGAATACAACAAAGCAGTTATTATTTTTCTCATAAAGATTGCTAAGGTTAAAGTGTTTCTAAGCTTGAAGTGATACAGAGTATAAAAATAATAATATACAGCATGCTGTTGGAAGAGGCTTTATTTATAGCAAGGAGAGAAAAAATGAAAAGTTAACAGCACTTACAATCACATGATGGTTATTTATTTGAATATGGCAAAGCATATAAGAGCTTAATAACACAGTCTGTTTCTGCATTTAAATGATGACATACATTTTTATTATATGCGGCTTAAGTGTCTGTTAATGCGTAACTGTACTAGCCAATGGGGGTGAAGTTGCCACAGCATTCAAATAGTCCATATACACTGATACCATATATGCAGTTATCATTGTTTTAATTAAATTATCATGGTATTTAAGAACATTTACATATTTTTCATACAATTGTTGCTTATTATGCATTTAACTATATTTACATATGAATTTCCTAGAAATTTGCAAACGTTAGAAATTAAAGGAGATGAAATCAACTAACAAGTTGTGTGTAGTACATCTCATCAGGTAGGTTTACCCAAACTCCTACGCTAAGTATCCTTTTGCGTAAAGAGTTTAAAATTTTGCCAGATTTCATTCCGACATTGTATTTTAAACTGAATTTTCAGCTGAACGCAAATTGAGCATGTCAGGGGAAATGTGAACATTTGTTTGCACTAGCAATCATCTGTTTTTGAAATGGTTTACAACTGAACATAAATTGAGCATGTCAGGGCGAACGTGAACATTTGTTTGCATTAGCAATCGTCTGTTTTTGAAATGGTTTACAACTGAACGCAAATCCTTTTAATTACAATTTATAATATCTAGAACAGTGGTCTTTTTGTATGACCGCCAGGCTTTCTAGTGAATTTATAATGAAACCATTGTACATTAAATAACTGCTTCTACTACATAAGTAATGTGCCTCACAGTAATAATATACTTCAAGACTGGCAATTAACACAATGCCACCAGTTAGGTTTATCCAAAAATTAAAAACAGCAAGACTACTTTCCTTTATACTTGGGGGTGGGGGGAAGGAAGTGCCTAATACAGTACAAAGTCCATAATATGGACGTCCATTATCCTGAATGATCTATAATACAGGCCTCCAAGCCACAAACTTACGCATGTACGTAAAGCCAGTAAAGCGTTTACCCATGCGTGCTTCTGATACTGAAGAAAATAACAGAGAACATTATTGAAAACAAAAAAATTTCAATTCACAAGTTAGTCGGTATTCTCGACACAGCAATTACAGGACTTAAACAGTGGAACTTTGTAACTGAACAAGAAATTATGTCAGTTTATAAACTTAAAGAGAAAGTATATTAGTGCAAACAGCGAAGCAACTTAAACAACTTACACTGATAGAAATGTTTACTAAAATAAACGGTATTTACGTATTATCGCAACCAGGTTGACGCTATTTGTAAGTTTGAGTAAAAAAGTATGAATAGAAAGAAAATGTACATTTATTAATTACAGATAATTTTTAATACAGTTTTTTATATTATTTTGTTTTAAAATATAAAATAGCAATTAAACCCTTCCAGTTTCAAATTTCAATAAGTTGCAGAATTATTTTTTCGGCGGAAATCTCTTGGCTATTGCTTTTAGCACTGATTAAAAACCGTACACGTCGACTTATTTTTACTTAAAAAAACATCCAGAATTGCACAAAAATGGCATTGCGCACACTCTTCACTTTATCCATGTACACTGCTATTCTCATAAATTAAAAAAATTTGCACGAAAATGCAAGAAAATTTTGTGAATCTCCACATGCTCTTTTTACAAAACTAAGTATAACACGTAGGGTTGCCGTAAGTAGGGTCGCCAAATTTCGCAATTTATGCGAATTTTGGCCTGGTTGCGTTAGTACGTAAGTACCAAATAAACAAAGAAATATTAAGCTCTTTTTTTTTTTTTTTGTAAATTTTGATACCCTTTAGATCATAATTGCTCTTTATTTCATAAATTACGGTTCATATTTTTAATTGTATAATTTCTGCATGCCATCTTACCAGATTTAAATTGATGATCTATAACCCGGAAAAAAAAAAAAAAAAACCCTAATTGGAATCGCCGAAGTCCCGAAGAGTTTGGATTATGGACTTTGTACTGTATCACAATTGTATATTCATTATATGCTAACAGAAAACAAGTTCTCGTGCTTCTTTAAGTACATAACATTTAACAGTTTGTGACGTTTATCTGTTTATTTTTAACTACTAGTTAATTTTTAGTGCTTTCCTATCATTCTTTTCTCACTCATGCTTTTCATGGCAGAATGTAAATGAGATAGTAAGCATCTAGTCAGATTGAGGTAGAAAGAAGTACTACTTAAGCAAGAGTTTTGGAAGTTAGTGTTAGAGTGTGCAGTCTATTCTAACCCATGTTGTGCCATGATTATTAGCGATTTGATTCTGAGGCATTGAGCGCTCCTAGCCATTTGGCTTGTCTCATCAGTTTTTTACAAACCAGAGCCCTTCCTGCCCGTTAAATTTTTCTGTGAGCCGTTGGGCTAATCTACCACATTTGGATTTGTTCAACATTACGTATTTCTGTTAAGGCAGAAGTGCTTGTCTTGTTGGGTAATTGTTAATTTCGTGTTCGAATAAAAGGGCATTTACACCTCTGTTCTGACTTTGTTTTTCTGCAGCTTAAGATAAGAGGACTATTCCTCTGCAGTCTTTCTAGAGTTCACCATTATATGTTCCCAAAGAAAGTGAGACTCTATAATTTTAAGCACATTAATTTGAAGAAAAAAAAAAAAACCTTACATTTTCTCAATATATATATATATAATAAAAAATAATAATTTATTTCCTAAACAGTATTGATTAATTGATTATATTATCTCCTAAGTTTAATTAAAGTAGAATTATTTTTAAAGTGTGAATCCATACCGGCAAGTCATATTTTGAAAGATGTTTTGAAGTAATTTGAAAGTAAAATGTTAATAATGTTTTAACGGGAACTGGAGTTAAATCATCATGAAAAATAAAATTTCAATTGTAAAAGGAAAAATTAAAACATGTAATCATTGTCATTGATCGGAAATTAGTTGACTTTTCAAGGGGAACAAACCAACTCCCGCTCAATGAACAATAATTGATAAAAATACGTAAATACGAAAGTGTTTCGTCTTTACTCGAGCCATAAGTTGTATGTATGTATGTATGTATGCGTGTATATACGTACATATATGTGTGTATACATATTATATACATGTATAATAGTAAACACAAAGACATATATATGTGCACACATAACATTCCTGATCTTGCTTCTAGAGAATACCCATTAATATTTGCAGGATTAGGCATTTTTTACTGAATTTTCTCACAGGTTTAGAGTTTTGAGCATTATAAATCATTATTTTTTTTTTTAAATCTGATTTACAATTAAGTATCATATTCTCTCTCTCTTTTTTTTTTTTTTTTTTTTTTTTTTTTTTTTAAATTTGGAAGTTCATTTATTTTTTCTCAGAAGGAAGTAAACAATATCGTATAAGAAATTTTAAGATAAAAATAATTTAGCAAATTTTGTAGATGGAGGAAAAAATTCTGCATAAGAAAGCATCAAACTAAAGAATTGAATTCTACATATTTTCCATTAAGAATATTTTACAGGGCACATATAGACACATAAATATTTATTAGAATACTGATTAATGTTCAGTTGGCAGCATAGGGCTGGAAAAGTCTTATAAAATATTTATTTGGTGACAATTATATACACAATAATTCATGAAACATAACAGCTTGTTTCAATAAAAAGGGAAATTAATGCCAATAATTGGCACAGCCAATTATGAATCAGTATTGACAGAAAGTTTTGCCACTTTATGGCAGAAGATTGAAAATGAAGCAAAAAGTAGCATCTGACATCAAAGATCACAATTTTTCTGATGTCATTAGTATGACCCACATGACCTCTGACATCATCATAAATTTTCGTAGGTTCTGTAACTTACTGACTTTGATTCTTGGTGGTTTTGTTATATATATATATATATTAGTTTTGATGAAAATCTTAAAACCATATTGCAAATTTCCATTATTTAAATTTCCATATTTTGTGATAAATTATCAATAATTTTAGGCAGTTGTTTTTTAGTTAACTTGTTCATATTTATTGTCAGGCACTTCCTTATGTTTGCATTTTTAATATTATTCCACTAATTCTGCCAGTTTATTTTTTTAATTCATTGTTCCATACTTAAATAATTTCAGTTAATTAAAATTTTTATTCTGATTCTTGAATTTCTTCAGGTTCTCCTTGCTAATAAAATCCAAGATCTTTCACTGTTAAATTTGCTTGTGCTGCTATTTAGAAATATGGCATTACTTTAATTTTTAAGTCTTTACAGCTTCAATGAATTTTAAGAACTATATCAATATTTCATTTTATTTTTGATTACAAAAATGTACACATAAAAATAAACACTTAAGAGGTGAAATACCTGCATATATAGACTCCCTCAGTTTCGGAGAAAATTACGATTTATTAATTTCAATTACTTTGAGCAGTTTAGATTATATCACTTTCTTTATAAATGCTGTGCATTTTGCCCTGTATAATCGTAAAATTCCAGCACAAAATGCAATTCAAATTTATTTATGCTGTTCATTTTTTGAAATGTATTTTTTATATTATTCCAAGGTAATATTTGAGAATTTTGCTTATGCTTTAAAACTCGATTGTGCTTCATTAAATCAGTATCATATTCCATTAGTTCACATTTTTATAGCTTGCAATAAGCTTTTGTCTTATTTGTTTTTATTCTTTTTAGCCTATTCTCAGAGACGCCTGTTTTATTCCAAGCATTTTGAAAGGTGATGCTGAAGTTGTTTCAAGCTACTCATAATTCCTGGGTCCATGACACTTAACCAACACCTGTTAGTTGACATGGACATTTAGCCAACATGGACAGTTAACTGACAAGACATTTAGCTGACAGAACATTCAGCC